CTTTCAGAATAGGGTCATTCCCTTCCAGAAGGGAATCATCGCTGGAGATTTCTGCTCTCTGAGGCTCTACATCCCCTCCTCACTCAAGGTTTTTCACCAGCTTTGCTGCTCATTTTCACCTCTGGCTGCTCTGAACAACACTTTGGAGGTTGCATTTTTCTCCTGGTTTCACCACATGTGTAGTTGGCAGGCTTGTTGTCATCCTTGTTGAGTGTGAGATAGTTCAGAACTAAACTGCTGCCATGTTCCTTCTGAAATGGAACATTTTCCTATTTTAAAATTATAATAAAAAATCTTCATGCCACTAAAACATCCTTTCAACTAAACCTCAATGGACATCAGGGTCTTTTTTTTTTTCCTTCTAAGAAACTCCTAAAAGTGAAATTCCTGGTTCAGAAGGGCATGCACACTTTTAAAGCTTTTACTATGTTTTGCCAAAGTACCCCCTAGAAAGTTTATACCTAAGTTTCCATATCTACCAGCCACAGGCTTCTTCTTTAAAGCCGGTGAACAGTTACTGCAATCACTGCTCGAACATTCTAATATTTCCAGACTGTCTTGAGCAAAACTTTCCTTCTCTTTGTGCAGGCCCCTACTTTGTGGCTGACACTCTGTAGAAGTCCCCCACCCAGAGGCCGTGGCATGGAGGCCTGAGGCTGGAAAAACAGCTTGTCATTATTTACCTTCCAGCACTTTCAGCTCTTCTCTTCTGATCTTGGTCTTGAAAAGGGGGGGGGCGTCAATCCAACAGGTGAAAACACTCCTGGAAATGGCTCAAGAAGGCCTCCTAGTGGGTGGTCAGATGAGAGCACTGAACCATGGACCCCCAGGGTTTCCTTTTTCTCAGCAAATAACCTAAATTCATAGCGGTCCTGGAGGTATCAAAGGGAAAAAAATACCTAGTTCCCCTCCATACATGACAAAACTATTTCAAAATAGCCAAATGGACTGGAGAAGCGGTTTTATTCTTGCCCATCCTGCTTTGGAAAAGTTGAAAATGCAGGTGCATTAAAAATACCAAGTGGAGAGAGCTCTTGTATCCGGCTTCTCAAGCCTTTGTACAGGTTTTCCCAGCCAAAGGGGGGAAACATTAAAAGTTTTGAAACCCTGGGATCCATGGCTATTAAAGAAGTATCTAAATTCTAGATATTCCTCTCCTAGGGCTTCTCCCATATCCTGACTAGCCAACAGCAGAGGGCTCTCACAGGGACAAATAATACGCACAACTTTTTTTAATCTGCTTATGATAATTGTCTCAAATTAACATCACAAGGCAGTGGAAATTGCATTCCCCAAAGGCTTCCTACTGCAGGAAGTTACCCTGCTCCTTACTGCAAAGGTAGTAAAGGTTAAAATTAGGTTAGCCTCTGTTTTGCAAAAGTTTGTTAATCCATCATTTATATTCATATAAGATGGTGTTTTGTATCAAAATTCATGAATGTTTTAACCTGTTGTAAATGTTAAGCTTAAGTGTTTTCTGTTGAATTAGACAAGTCTTCTCTTTGCCAGAAACATTAAAATTGATATTCTTATAACAGCAGTTGAGCGACTGCTTTAACCTAACTGAATGGATATTCAGCGCTCAGATCACAGAAAGTTCTAGTTCTTCGCTATTTTGTACGCCTCGGGCCATACCAGGAGTTGAGTCTGAGTGCCTTATTTTAAGCGCAGCACTGATGAACTGAAGTGCTCACAGGGAAGGAGATGGAGGAGGGGAATCAGAGACCAGGTTACATGGGAGCAAAGGACACAGTGGAGAGGCCCTAGGACTGTCTTCAGATCTTGGAAGGGCTGTTTTCTAGAATACGGCTCATTCTTCGTTGCTTTCCAAGGCAGGCATAAGGCCAAAGAGTGAGAGCTCTATACAATTAGATTTAATCTTTAAATAAAAGAACTTTAAACAATTAGAGATGTCAGAAAAATACAAAATGCTTCGTTGGGTTGAACCGAGCTTCCAGTCATCTCACATCTACAATAAATTCATGATTGAACTAGATACATAATTAAATATTTTACGATTAAAAAAATATGGGGGCTTCCCTGGTGGCACAGTGGTTGAGAGTCCGCCTGCCGATGCAGGGGACACGAGTTTGTGCCCGGTCCGGGAAGATCCCACATGCCGCGGAGCGGTTGGGCCCGTGAGCCATCGCCGCTAAGCCTGCGCGTCCGGAGCCTGTGCTCCGCAGCGGGAGAGGCCACAAAAGTGAGAGGCCCGCGTACCGCAAAAAAAAAGAAAAAAAGAAGTATGGCCACAGCTATTTGTTTTTAGGAAGACCTGAAAATGTTTAAGAAAAGCAGACTCTTTTGTTATTCTATTAGTTTTGCTGAATAGGACCCTGTGGCTGATCATCTTAATCCCAACTGGAGTTCTGAAACCTGTTGCCTGCCTGGCTGCCTTTGACATCTACTCACATAAGGAATAATTAATAGCAAAACAACAAAAATGCTTTATATTTGTGTGCTTCCTCTTTTTTTTTATTTTTTTTTTGGTTTTGCGGGCCTCTCACTGCTATGGGCTCTCCCGTTGCGGAGCACAGACTCCGGACGCGCAGGCTCAGCGGCCATGGCTCACGGGCCCAGCCGCTCTGCGGCATGTGGGATCCTCCCGGACCGGGGCACGAACCCGTGTCCCCTGCATCGGCAGGCGGACTCTCAACCACTGCGCCACCAGGGAAGCCCCTCCCTCATTTTAAAATATCTAAATTTTAGCTGTTTCTCTTTCTCTATATACATTTATGTATATGTATTTCCAAATTATGTATTTATATATTCCAGAAATAATTTTAGCTTTCAGGAGGACTCACATATCCTTTGTATTAATTCTATTAACCCCAAAGAACAGTTTCCCCAGCACAAAAGGGAGAAAATTATTACATTCCTACTGTTAGTCAGTGGTGGTAGAGGATTTTCCCACAGTTCAAGAACAAAATCCTCCTTTGAGAGTGAAACTCTTAAGTAAGCACACAGTACACTTTTTGTGTAAGAAATTTGCTTAAGGAGCTAGTTCTTCCAAACAACCCAATCAAAAAATGGGCAGACGACCTCAATAGACATTTCTCCAAAGAAGACATCCAGATGGCCAACAGGCATGAAAAGATGCTCAACATCACTAATTATAAGAGAAATGCAAATCAAAACTACAGTGAGGTATCACCCCACACCAGTCAGAATGGCCATCATCAAAAAGTCTACAAATATTAAATGCTGGAGAGGGTGGAGAAAAGGGAACCCTCCTACACCTTTGGTGGGAATGTAAATTGGAACAGCCACTATGGAGAACAGTATGGAGGTTCCTTAAAAAACTAAAAATAGAGTTACCATATGATACAGCAATCCCACTCTTAGGCATATATTCAGAAAAGATGAAAACTCTAATTCGAAAAAATATATGCACCCCAATGTTCATAGCAATACTATTTACAATAGCCAAGACATGGAAGCAACCTAAGTGTCCACTGACAGATGAATGGATAAAGATATGGAATATGGTACAATGGAATATTACTCAGCCATAAAAAAGAATGAAATAATGCCATTTACAGCAACATGAATGGACCTAGAGATTATCATACTGAGTAAGTCAGACAGAGAAAGATAAATATCACAAGACATCACTCATATGTGGAATCTAAAAAAATGATACAAATGAACTTATTTACAAAACAGAAACAGACTCACAGATATAGAAAACAAACTTATGGTTACCAAAGGGGAAGGGGAGGGGGAGGGATAAATTAGGAGTTTGGGATTAACAGATACACGCTGCTGTATATAAAACAGATAAGCAACAAGGAGCTACCATATAGCACAAGGAACTATATTCAATATCTTGTAATAACCTATAATGGAAAAGAATATATATATATATATATATACACACACACATATATATGTATAACTTGATCACTTTGCTGTACACCTGAAACCAGCACAACATTGTAAATCAACTATACTTCAATTAAAAAAAAGAGAGAGAGAGATAGTTTTTCAATAAAAAGCAAGAAGGGGAATTCCCTGGTGGTACAGTGGTTGGGACTCAGCACTTTCACTGCTGGGCCCAAATTCAATCCCTGGTCAGGGAACTGAGATCCTGCAAGCCATACAGCCCAGCCAAAAAAAAATAAACTAGCAATTTTGGGGGTTTGGGTTTTAAAAAAAGCAAGAAGAGGTGATATGGATGTGGTCCCACTCCTGAATTTAGCTAAGTTTATTTTTTATCTTGCCCCTCCCCTTCTCAAGAAAGAAAATGCAGCAAAGGGATGGTGATGACTGGCAAGAGGCCTGGGCTCATCTCCCGTGCTCTGAGGAACAGATGGAGGGAAGCAGCCAGGCATTGGGCCCTGGGGTGGACACTGCTGCCAGTCACAGGGCAAGAACTGCACTTTTCTAATACTTTTGGACTCACCAAGACTGGCCAGGGACTGGTTGGCACCACACCACGACTAGATACCAGATCACTTCTCAGCATCTAACCAGGAAGTTCTGTCACCTGTTATATACTCTCCCACACTGTGAATATTAATTGCAGACAAACTTTCTGCTTCTGCCATCTCTTTAGCCACAGGATTAACCTGTGGGGCTAGTGAAAAGAGAACTACATTTTAGTGTGCCAGATTTAGTACACACAAAAAAATACTGGAAGCTAGCTTAAATTGAATTTCAGATAAACAAATAATTTTTTAGTGTAAGTATATCCAGAATGTGTTTTCTCTGGCAATCTGCCACATTTTCCCAATCAATATTTAAGACTTAGAAAGAAAAATGAATGAATGAATGGTGAGGAAGATCAATAGGACAGAAATCACAGAGGTGTAATTAATGCATGTCTAACACTTTTAAAATTTTTGTTTTTGTCAATTTAAAATATTTTCTATTAATTTTTCTTAATTTTTAAATTTTCATAAAAATAACATATATACCCCCAAAATTAAAAAGTTAAATAGTACTGAAAGAGACATGGTGAAAATAGCAGTCTCTTATCCCACCCAACCCCAGCTCCCTGTTTGATGCTCAGAGGTACCCAGTTAAACGCTTTCAGCTGTTTCTCCCAGTTTTAACCTCCTCTCCCATCTTTCTAAATCATATATTTATAGTGTTCTTTTGTTGATTTGTCAATTTTAAACATTACCCATTTTCTTGCAATCATGGGAGATGAGGATTGGTTTCTTTTCCTTCTTCCACCTACATCCTCCTTCCCTTTCCTCCAGCTTCCCATCACTGTATCACAGCCTTTGGTTAAATCAATAATCTGTGTTAACATTATTATGGCTCTGTAAATTTTTGTGTGTTGCCTTTATCTTCTTTTACAGTGTTTGTGTTGTGGGGTTTTCTGTAGGTAGCAATTGCCTCAGATTTTTTATTGACTCAGTTTTTGGTAAACTTTTTCTCACAAACTTATTCTCACAACTAATTCTCACAACCATCTAATAGCCCCTCAACATAATCTTCCACCTAGTCACACCTGTTAGGTAATCCATCTGGCCCATCTCTATCCTGAGTCCTCTATTCTCTGGCTCAAAGGGGGACATCCCTAGGCCTACTGCCCCCCTGGCATCCAGGTCTCCTTTACCATCATCCTGGGAATCCCTATGCCCTCTCCTGGGTATGTCTTCCTCATTCTTGGATTGTTCTCTTATTTGGGTGGAGAGCTTCCTGAGAAAGGGAGCATGAGAGGCAAATTACTTGTGATCTCCCATGTCTTCAAGTGTCTTTTATTCTACCCTTTCTCTTAATGGTTTAGGTTTGGATTTCTAAGCTATAAATAATTCTCACTCAGAATTCTGAAGTCCTGACTCCATTATCTTCCAGCTTCCAGTGTTGCTGCTGAGAAGTCTGGTCTTTCTGATCTTTTCCTGATCCTCTCAATTGACCTGTATTTCCTTTCTGAGTCCTTTTGGGGTCTTTTCTTTATCCCTGGTGTTCTGACATTTCATGAAAATGAACCTTGAGAGAGAAATCTTTTCTTTCCCTGAAGATTTCATAGCATTTGTAAAGCTTTCTCCTCCTCTCTAAACTTATGCATTCTTTCTCCCTCCCCAACACCTATCTCTCATGCCTGAGGCTTTCCTTAAATGTCTGGGGATCTTGGCTCTCAGATCATATTTAAGAGTCATGTGCTGAAGAGATGACTGGATGGTCAGCATGCTTGGGTAGACCTTGTCTACCAGTGGATTGCCCCGTAGAGGGTGAGCTGGCTCTTCTATTGGGCGTCTGTAACGGGATCATGTCTGTATCTGTAGGCCTTCCCCTTGAGTCTGCTCGGTTTCTTCAGAAGAGTTCTTGAGTCTTCAGCCTGCGGTGTGCCTGGTTGCCAGGCTTCCTAGAAGCAGGGTGAGGAAAAGGGGCTGCAAGTTTACCTCTTAGTATCAGGGTTTCCATTTATTACCCATATTTTCAGTTCTGTACTCCATACTCACCCTCCATAGTGCCTGATGAGCTGACCCAAATTCCCCATGGGCACTTGAAGTCTCCTGCAGGAGCAAGCGAGGTGTGGCGAACCCACTGCCCACAGGGACCGTGCTCTCATGCAGTCTCCACCAGTTCCCCACTCCGCACCCCATGTGCAGCTCTGCCCTCCCTGTCCCAGCAGTCTGCTCACTTCTCACCCATAAGCCCTCTGTAGGCATCAGGCCTTCAGCCTCCCCCTTGCTGCCATGTGACTCGCCACTCCTTCCTCTGCTTCCTGCCTTCCAAAAATGTGCTGACATACTTCATCTGCTGCCATGTCCTCCCTTATCTGCATAAACCTTGTGGATTTGTAACTCTTTTTACTCCTTTATGGTTGTTTGTAGTAGGGCTTTGGGAGGGAGCAGATGGAGCTTCATGAGAGGCTCTTTTGTCACATTTAGCCAGAAGTTCTTTAGAGTCCACTTTCACTCTGAAGTACTTGAGGGGAACAATTTCCAGGCCACGTTCTGAAATAACTCCTGCTGTCAATCAACACACTTTTTATTGTGTTTTGGGCTAGGTGTTTCTTTGTGGGAAATGGAGCAAAGTCCAAACACACACATTGTTTAATCATATTAGTAAAACACTTCTGACCTTTTGAACAAGATCCAAATGGGTTTCTCTGCTTTTGTCTAGGAACAGGGACAGAAAAGCATGAGAGGCACTTTGAAACATGGTCCCGGGCCCCAATGCTTACCAGACCTGCTCTGTCTTTTGGGCTTGAATAAAAGCAGGGAGAATGCTGAAATACCATCTTCTTTGAATTAATCATGAGCCCCACCTCTCCTGCTATCCTGTGTTTACACATTACTGCTATTGTGTTGTATCTGCTGGCGGATCTCCTTTCATCTGCAGCCACACAAGCCCTCTTCATTTAAAGCTGCACACATGGCTCTTGAATTAAGAGGGCATTTTAGCAATAATTCCTCATTCCTCTTATTGAAGGGCTCAAAGTCTTAGGGAAGGATCACTGCTGTTTCAATTGACATCTAAAGTCCAGACAAGCTAAGGAGAGAGAGCAGGGCCAGGAGGCTGTCACAGGGAAACGTGGATGAGTAGATCAGGATGGAGAGGGCCTTGAATGCCACACTAAGGACTTTGCACCGGCCTACAGGCAGTGGGGAGCCACCAAGGAATCTTGAGCAGGACAGTGACCTGAGATAAACTGTGCTTTAAGAAAATTAAGCTGATAGCTGTGGGTGGGAGGGTTTGGAACAGGGAGAGGCTGGAGTCTAGGTGGCCAGTAAGACAAAGTGGCTCTTAATCCTGGCTTCATAGACCACTGGGAGAGCTTTGTAAAAATCCAGACCCTGGCCTCCACCCTGCTGGATTGTTTCAGGTTTCTGGGGAGGGGACCAAGAATCTGTGTTCTAATACATTCATCAGGTACAGCAGTGAGCTAGACGGCTATTTTTTTTTTTAATTTTAATTTAATTTATTTATTTTTGGCTGTGTTGTATCTTCGTTGCTGCACGCGGGCTTTCTCTAGTTGCAGCGAGCAGGGGCTACTCTCCGTTGCAATGTGTGGGCTTCTCATTGCGGTGGCTTCTCTAGTTGTGGAGCATGGGCTCCAGGTGTGTGGGCTTCTGTAGTTGTGGCACGTGGGCTCAGTAGTTGTGGCTCACGGGCTCTAGAGCACAGGCTCAGTAGTTGTGGCGCATGGGCCTTAGTTGCTCTGCGGCATGTGGGATCTTCCCGGACCAGGGATCGAACCCGTGTCCCCTGCATTGGCAGGCGGATTCTCAACCACTGCGCCACCAGGGAAGCCCTAGAAGGCTATTGAGACATGCCAGTAAAGGGCTCCAGACCTCAAACACGGGACTGTGGCTCTGGGAGGCAAAGGAGGACACAGATTGGAGGCAGGCTGCCTTCAGGGTGGGAAGTGGGGGGAGGGCAAAGGGGAGAGAGGGAGTCCCACCTGACCCCTGCCTGTTTCAGGACCTGAGGGGAGGGAGGCATGAGAAAGACCATCAAGTTGGGCCTGGAGACCCAAATGGAGGCTGGGCCCCTCCTGCAGAAGAACCTAGAAGAAGATCAGATGTAGGAGAAGATAGCGACAGGGGACATTTAGGATGCCAAAGGGGCCTGGGACTTGGGGGAAGATGACTGCGAGCATCTGGCTCCCACTTGGTATGTGAAGCTGGGCAAAGGAGACTACGGTTCAGATCCCTCCAGTTGCACACGCACATGGACACATGCATGGCTACGTGTGGACACGGACATGGACACACAGACAGTCGTCTTCAGCAGGAGGCAGAAAGTGTGGTGGTTCAGAGATTGGGCTCTGGAATCCAGCAGCCCTGTCCCTGTGACTCTGGGAGCCTCAGCCTCCTCACTGACAGAAAGCCAATGACGCTAGCAGTTAACTCGATATGGTTGTTGTGATGACTTGATGAGATGCTGTATGCCAAGTCTGGGCACAGAGCCTGGCACGCAGGGAACACTCCATAATGGTAGCTCTGAGTAATACTAAAAAAAATGTGATCTGACTTCTGAAGCCAAGGAGCCATAAAGTATTTCATTCAGTGTATCTCACTTCTGAAGCCAGAGAGTCATAAAGTATTTCATTCAGTGTTAGGAGACAAGTCCATGGGAAGGCATGAAACCTCTCATTTGTTGCTATCCACTCCGGGTGGCTTTCTCTGGGTGTGTCTTGATGAGTCCTTTGCCTTTTATTTCTAGGACTCCTGGAGAAATGACAGTCCCTTGCTGCTGCGTTTAATTGGAGAGGATCTCAGAGACCCGAGATTATAATTATGACACGTTAAATGCCGAGCTCTTCAAAAGTCTGCCCTTGCCCTCACTGTCACCCTGAACAGCTCTGAGAACCCAAACCCTGCAGCCCCCAGAGTGTGCCCTGGGTCTCTCAGCCAGGCCTCACCTGGGAAATCTGAGTGATGGTGACGTGCAGGCAGCAGGAAGACACACAGTAAACCTAGGAGCCTGTGATGAGCTCAGGAGAGGTGAGTTGATGATATGCTATTTATAGCCCCACTAAGAGGCTCTGGCCGCCAGCTCCATGTGAGGCTGGGTGGAAATGATGCCTCTGTGGAGCTGAGAGCACAGAATGATACTGGTGATTCATGGGCAGCAGCCACTTGAAGTACAAACGCTCCCGCGTCCCAGCCCTGCTGGCCTTTCAGACGCCCACTTTGGAAGCCTACTGTCTCCAATCTTCATGCCTTTGGACAGGATGCGAGGACAGGCAGGTTCTGCCTCACAAGGGACCTTAGAAGGGCAGCAGTGCTCCTCAGAGAACCCCAAGACCCTGAGCCCACCCCTCCCAGGGCCTCAGCCAGAGCCCAGGTCAGGGCTGAGTAAGAGGCAAGCCCTGGGCTCAGGAGGCCTGTGGGTCAGAGAGAAAGGACTGTTCCTGCTCCTGCCCCCTGTCTCCAGGGGCAACACTGGCCACACAGCAGCTTCCTGATGACGCTTGTTCTGCCGAACATACAAATATGTACAATGAGGAAATCCTGGTAGTTTTTAAATTTTTCCCCCCAATTCCATAGCCCAGTACCTGTCACCTGAAATAGCTGTTGTTTATTTTCCTTGGTAATATCTTGGCTTCCAGGCCAAAGTATACTTGGAGGCCCCAACTCAACTCACACTCTGTGAGGAATGTGCTGGGGGGTCTCTTAGCTTTGTCAACCAAGACTGGATTGAAAGGGTCGAACCAGGATAATGAGGCATAACTGAACTCTGGAGCCAGACTGTCTGGGCTCAAATTCCATCTGCACACTTGCCAGCCATGTGGCCACCATCACATTCTTCTCTTAGACCCAGTTTCCTCCCTGGTAAAGTGGCGGCAATAACAGAACTTACCTCAGTGGGTTGTGGGGAAGATGAAAAGAAGGAATGTATGTGAAGCGGTCAGCGCAGTGCCTGGCACATGGAAGGACTCAGTAAGTGGGAGCTGCCGCTGCTGCGTGCTTGTTCTTGCTGCAGCGTCTTGGCCCCTACACTGACACCATAGCCTGTGGCCCTGAGGCTCCTCATGGAGGTGGTGCCCTGAGCCTCAAGAGAGACCGTCTGTCCCTCACAAGCACAGCCCGCATCAGGCTGCCCAGCATGATGGAGTCCACCCCTGGGCAGCTTGGCCCTTTGCGCTGCCTGCCCCTGCGCTTGCCTAGGAAGCAAGTGCCTATCTTTTGGGTTGGGCCTTGCCTGGGCTTGACCACTCTACTCTTCCACTCCTCTGGGCCTGGGGTGGCCCTTGGGGGCATTAACTATCACCGCCCAGTGGAGGACTTCACCTGAGGGCCCCAGGTATTAACTTGAGGTCTGTAGCCAGCAGGTTGCCCACCAAGGGGGGGCCTGGACGGCAGACAGGTTGGGCCCACCTCACCTACCAGCTGGGCATACAGCACAAACTGCTGAATCATGAAGGCCCATGAGGCCTTGGCTGTTTGTACATTCTCTCATCTCTAGCTGTCAGCCAAAACATAATTGTAGCTGTCACTTTGGCAGCAAGATGCTGTGATGTGTCCTAGTACCACTGCCTCTGCTCCATGGCAGTGAGCTTTGGGGAGGTGGGAGGAATCTGCAGCTGCTCCCATGGAGAGAGCCGTTCTGGAAAGTGACCTGTGCAGTGTTCAGCCAGGTGCAGCCTTAGGGGTGGTGTGAGCACTAGGGTAAGGCCCTGCATTAGAACAGACACTGGCACGCCTACATCTGCATCTGCATAATGCAATTCTGAAATGAGGCATTTCGGGCAGATACAAGGGCTTGGAAAACAGCCTTTAGACTTACACAGAAGTTGGACTCCAGTGTGCCTGGGCTGAATGAGTAAGTAGTTAGACAGTGGGGTACATGGTGTAGGGAGATGGTGCCAGAGGTATACCTAGGGCCAGATTGTGAAGCAAGGGGCTTGAAGGCCAGGCCATGGAGCTCGGACTTGATCCTGCAGGTAATGGGGAGCCACTGAAGGACTTAAGGGAGAGAGTGATGTAGTCATACGACATTGAGCGTCTGGGCTCACACATCCAAAGTAGTGGCACTAGGCGTAAAGACCCCCCTCGCCACGGCAGCGGTGCGCTGCGTAGGAGGGTGTTCTGGAGTGCATGGGGCAGCAGCCCCAGGATTTCAGGGGTGACTGACTCTGCGCTTAGTGGGTAAGTGTGGGAAGGGTCAGCTCTAGTCAGGCTAGCTGCAGGTGTTCAGCACGTGAGAGGAGGCTCATGCCTGCCTTATTCCTTGGTCCTCCTAGGCCAGAGTTCATTAATGAGGCACCTGTGTGCAGATGTGCCAAATGCAAGGGACTGCACACACTCATGCCAAAGGTCAGGGGAGGCTCCTGGGGCTGAGAAATGGTCCCACTGCCTGTGGGTGTTGCCTCCCTCACCACACACACACTAAGAAAACAGCAGAGACAAATACCCAAGCTTGGGGAAATTCCCTAGAAGGAAGGTTTTATCCTCATGAACTTAAAAATCTGCCAGTTCATAGGTTGGTTAATGAAGACAGAGAATATGAAGTGTTGGGAGCCATTACTAGTGGTTGAACCACCCATGAGCATGGGAGCCAGAGCATATCTAGACCATCATGTAAGTCAGGAGGAAGACAGGATTCAACTGACAAAAATTGTGTGTACCCTGCTCAGAAGTGCATTGTTGTGCAAGCAGTGGTTTGGCAGTCATTATTCCCTTTCAGCTGCAAGCCAGGGAGGGAGGGATGCCTCTCAGCTGTCAGGAGAGGAAGGGAAGGGGGAAGGAATGTTCCCATTCTGGAATGATCTTCCATCAGTGTTCCCTGAGTTGGGCTGCCAGGAAGGCAGAAGGGAGGGGATGCGACAGCTACTGAACAGTGAGGAAGGTCCCTCACCTGCACAGCCCCTGACACAAGGTGTGTGTGGAGGGAGGGTGCCTGGAACCCTTTGGCCTGTGGGTGGAGCCTGAACCTTATCCTCTTCCCTGCGGACAGGCAGCACATGGTAACCACCACTGGCTGCCCAGGGCTGGCTTGGAGCAATATGCCAAGCTGTAGTTTTTCCTATTTGGTTTGCTTTTTCCTTTAAATTTTAACATGTATCAGGTTTTTTTTATATATAATATACAATCAGAAAAGTCCAAACAACCATATGTACAACATAACAAATAAAGTTAATGTTATTATTTTTTTTATAGAGAAAAGTATAAAAAAAGAAAACAGACGGCCCTTAAACCTCTGCCTGGCCAACCTCCACTGAAATTCTTTTAACATAGTTTAAAAATTAAAATAGTACAAAAAGATATAAAATGAAAAGTAAGTGCCTTCTCCATCCCTCTTCCCCACAGGTGAACACTAACAGTTTCTTGTGTATCCTAAATTTTTTTCTCTGCATCAATAATATTTCTGGAGTATATGATCACACAAGATTTGTCTGTATTTAACAATAAATTTTAAAAGAGGATATACTCATGTCTGTCCCAAGATATAAAATGAATATGTGTCAAAGATTTAGTTTAACTCATTAATTAACGAGAGAACCACTAAAACGTTACAACCAATTCAAAGGAGAACTCAAAACTATCACACATGATAGTCAGATAAGGAATGCTGAAATCATTTCAGAAATGGATGCAAAATTGGTCAGAATCCACACAGCAATAGTCAGTTGCCTTCCACTAGACACAATCTGTGTAACTGTGAACAGGAATTATTTGCATTACTATTAAGGTGTTACAGCTTCACTTCCATCTTTAGAGCTGAGAAATACCTAGTCAAAGACACAAAAGGCAGAAAGAACCTAGGTGGGTAAGTTATTCAGGAGAACCACTAAATTTCAACATCTTTCACAGTTTTCCCTACACTTGTAATTGGCTCCCTACCTACATCCCTCCTTGGAATTCCCCTGCCGACAACCCCTGCTGCCCTGTTTGTACCAGTTGACATGCTGTACATGTTCCAGGTGATGGGCCAGGGCTGAAAGCCTAGCCTGGGAGAACCAACAATCACCCAGGCTGAGCCAGCCAAGTGCTCCCAAGGCCCTGACGCTCTGCTTCTTTGGTTGTGGGCCCTGGAGTTGTGAGTCATGGTGACTCAGGACTGGCGGTCATGTTGGGCCTTGTAAAAGATGGTTAAGGGTTTTGTGAAAAAGGGAAGAAATTAGAAATGCAGGGGGAAAGGGCCTGTAGTCCAGCACAAAAGACAAAATGTTTGCCTAATGAGCTTCCAGTTCCTGGGATGACTTTGTGCATTTGGATTCTGTGAGAGTCCTCTTTATGCTGGCGTCAGCTTGGGTGGTGTCTGTTCCAATAATTCCTTACCCAAGGGAGTAGCTGACATGCAAGATGTATTATGACCTAAGGAGCTGGGGTGGTGTCTGAGGCAGTTTCCCACAGAGCCCAGGGTCTGTGTTGGCACCACGGGGCATTATGTCAGCTGCAGAGAGCAGGGGGCAGAGTGGGTCTATGATACATAGTACACTCTATGATACAGTAGAGTGATCTGCATCCTTGTACAATCACCTCATCTCCTATGAACAGGTTTTCTTATCTTAAAAATGGGGCACCATGCTCCTTTCTGGCTTCTTCCCTGGTCCCCATGGAGGTCCAGTGGGAGGCATGGGTGTGAGTCTACTGCCCAGGCCAGTCATGTGGTAGGAACTAAGCCCACAGCACTGGCAGGGTGGGAGAGCTCAGCCCCTCTGTGCAAAGTGCTTTGGGAGAAGAGGTTTTGTGCAGAATGGCCAGTCATGATTAATTGATGGGAGGCTCTCAGGCAAAGGATCAGATTTCATAGATAAATACACACACACACACACACACACACACGCTTTGGCTCTCTTGAGAAGGAAATGTTCATTCAGCATAAGGCAAGCGTATCTAAATCAAGATTTTCCATACCTTCAACGGGTTCCTTTCCACCATCTTCATTCATTCACTGAGCATGTACTGAGCACCTACTGTATGATGAGCACTGTCCCAGACACTGAAATCATGAGACAAAGAGTTAGCTCCTGCCCTTGCAGTGTTGGGAAGCAGACATACAAAAAGAGCTTTACCAAGGAGTGTGATAAGAACAGAGAGAGGAAAACAAAGGATATTCTAGCAGCACTCACCCATGGCCCCAGTGTGGCATCAAGGATCCTCAGGGCATGGCCAGAGGAAAGTCTAGTGTTGCTGGAGTGCCATGGAAAGTAAGGGGCTGGCTGCAGTGGGGCCAGTCATGTGGGGACTCGGGGGCCTCAGGAGAAAGTCCATACTTCACTCAAGAAACTGAGTGCTGTGGCCAGTTCTGTACTGTAGAACTGTCACTCTGGCTGCCCATGAAGAGTGGTTGGAGGGGAACAGACTAGAGGCATAAAGACCTGTTAGGAGGTGGCTACAGGCATCTGAGCAGGAAGTGATGACCTGAACTTAGTAAAACAAGTGGAGGGAACTGATTCAAGAAATGTTTTGGCCAGGATTTAACCTGAGAAATGAGACAATGATGACCGTCAGATTTTAAGCAAGGACAACCATGTGGTTAGGGTGTCGCCATCACAGGAGAAAGAAACCCCAGGAGGAGAAGCAGGTTTGGGGGAGGGGGATGGGCTGGACAATGGTGAGTTCAGTTTGAGACATGGTGAGTATGAAGGACCTATGCACATGCAGGTGGAAGCGTTCTGAGGCAGATGGACACACAGGTCTGAAATCTAGGGAGCAGTTCAGGCTGTGAAGCTGGAGGGAATGTGGGCACAGACAAATTTACATGAGTGTGGTTGGGGAGGAGAGGGCAGGGGAAGAAGTGGAGGGGCATCATGCCCTTCGGCCCTAAAATTCTCACCTGCTGAGAATGAGGGTGGGGAAGGGGCTAAGGGCAAGGAGAGGATGCTTGGAACACCCGTTAGGGCGAATACCAGAGAATCTGACCTAGGCCTAACAATACAGGGGCCCCGGTGGCTTTGGAGGCCATAAATCTGCATTAGCACTGACCTGTCCTCCTCAGGGTCTTCTCCAGGACCTAGAAGGCAGGAAGGTTGGTCGGCCTGTAGTACTTGGGCTGCAGTCTTACAAGACAATTGTGGCAGAAGGTTCCTTTTGAGTGTGTAGCAGAGACAGCTAACTGTTCACCAAAAAAAAAAAGTGTATCCCTTGCCCTGCCATAGAACAGAGTTGAGGCTAGGAAGGGGCGTCCCAGCAGAGGCTACATTTCCCAGCATATACCCCTCCTCTCACATCTGTTACATCTGAGAGGAGTCAAGTGACACGTTCTTGCCAATGGAATGCTGATCAGGGATGACATGTATTTTCCAGCCCCAAATAGTTAAGAAGCAGATGTGCCTTCTCCACCCTTCTTTTCCTCTTCTAGTTTAAGGCCCCCTTGGAAACCACATGTTGGAGATGGCAGAGCCACAAGGTGGAAGGATCCCGGTCCCTAAATCATCACTTGGAGGACACACACCACTGATCAGGAACACCCACGTGAGTTGTTTGTGAACAAGAAATCAGCTATATTGTCTGAGCCAATATACATTTGGGGATTTGTTTGTTATAGCATCTAGCATTATCCTGACTAATACAGGGTTTAAGAAAATTGTTGGTTCTTCAGATGATGCTGATGCGGCCAGACTGGAGAATCGATTGAAGCCTCTCGGGACAGAAAGTCTTTGTTGAAGTGCAAGAGCAGGAGTAGAGAGCAGACTGGAAATATCTAGAAAGCAGGAGGTCAAGGCCTCTGGTAGAATTCAGGAGGCTAACATTTCAGAGAGGGGCTATCCTGCAGTGTGGCAAGAGCCAATGGGAAAAGGTAAGGAACATTAAGCAGGTCCGGGAACTGTGATGCTGGGGGTCAGGAATCATGTTGGATGGTTAATCCACTTGGAAATTGTGGTCTGTGACAAAGCAGGACATGGGGTGGAGAGAGAGTGTCAGAGGTCTGGCCACTGTCTTGCAACCAGGGCAATGGGAAGAAGTGCTTTAGTTAAAAACTAGACTAACCATCAGGACTGCCATCACTAAGCCCTGTCAGCTGCCATGGCTGAATGGATCTGAGCAGGGTGTCTCATCATTGGTGAGGATTTGTTCATTAGGCCACAGAGATGCACACCTGAAAGCTGGTCCATGAAAAGGAACACCTGTAAATGCTGAGGCAGGCTAACTCCATCCAGCAACAGAAACAGCCAGACCCACAGCAAGAGTGCTTTCTTCAGTTGGTAGAGAAGCTTGGCACTCTCCAAATTGCTTATTTACACGTCTGTTTGAGCCTCGTGGACATCCCATATTAAAGACAGTGTCCCTCTGTGCCAGGTAAGGTCACCAAAGTGTTAAATAAATGATAGCACTCAGAAGGGAGTGGAGCCAAGTTCTCCTGATCCTTGGCCAGTGGTCCTCATTATAAAATCCCTTTTACAGACATTTTTAGACATTAACTACCCATCATCTTGGGGAGATTTAGGCCTCAACACACCCCTGGCAGCAGGAATGACGGGGATGGCCTCCAAAGGCACTTCCAGCTAGCAATTCTTTTTTTTTTTTTTTTCAGCTAGCAATTCTTAAAAGAGTTTCTGAATGAGTAGTTCCAAAATAAGACTAGGAATAGGAATGACAGAAAACTCAAAATAATAGTTGTGAAAATAAGAGAAGTTTATGTCTCTTAAAAAAGAGTCTGATGTAAAAAAAAAAAAAAAAAAAAGTCTGATGTAAATGTAAGGGCTGCTATGGCCCTCCACAATTTCAGAGGGTCAAGGCTCCTTCTATTTTGTTTTTTTTCCTCTATTGTTATGTAGCAAATTACCTCAAAACTCAGTGGCTTATAACAACAATAAGCTTTTCTTACCTCACACTTTCTGTGCGTCAGGAATTCAGGAGTAATTTCCTAGGTGATTCTGGCTTAAGCTCTCTCATAAGGTTGCAGTCAGGATGTCAGAATGGAGCTGTGGTCACCTGATGGCTTGAATGGCACTGCAACATTGGTTCTGGCTGATGGCAGGAAGCCTCAGTTCCTCACCACCTATAATCCTCCATAGGGTTGCTTGAGTGTGCTTACAACATGGCAGCTGGCTTCCACTAGCCTAGAGCAAGTGCAGAAGCTGCAGTGTCCTTTATGAAGTAGTCTCAGAAATCACACTATCATTTCTGCAATATCCTGTCGGTTACACGGGTCAGTCCTGTTGAATACAGGAGAGAATGAAACAAGGAACTTCCAGTAGTTGAGAATTACTGGAGGCCATCTTGGAAGTTGGGCTACCATATCTGCCATCTTCAGAGAGTGGCTTCATCCCAATATTCTAATATGGCTGCTCTAACTCCAGCTGTCACATCACAGAAGGTACTTTCTGGCTGGCATGAAAAAAGAAGAAAGGAAGAAGGCATGCCTTTCAAGAAGTTGCATACACTATCCTACTTATAGCTTATTGACCAAAAGAGTCACATAGCTGGAAAGGAGGCTGGGAAATTTAGTATTTATTTTGGATGCCATGTACTCAGCTAGACCAGATATTGGGGGACACTTGGCAGTCTCTGACACATCAGCAATGTTCCTGTGTTTATTTCAAAGGATGGTGTGGGGAGGGGAGCACAGAGGACATCACTATCTTGGGTTACTGACCTGGCTAAGGACTTCTGGCCCATCTTGTCTGGGAAACGTGTGTGTGTGTGTGTGTGTGTGTGTGTGTGTGTGTGTGTGTGTGTTGCAGGGACAGGGGAGGAGTGCAGATAAGTGCTTTATCCTGTAATTAGTGAATCTCAGTGTCAAGAGAAAATAGTCCTTAGAAGAACTCAGGAGACAAATGAACATTAAAAACAGACTGAGTCCTAGAAACCCAGCCAAGAGTGGTCCCAAGAATTAAGATGATCCAGAAAATGAGAAGACCATCACAGGAGACACTGTGAGAGCAGCCTCATTCTGCACCCAGACATGCAGGTTTAAATAAATTCTAGGTAGCCCAACTTATGACCCCAATGCAGAAGCCCAGATGGGCAACTCTACCAGCTGTGTTTTTAAAAGATCGCATGATTCCTGATCAATGAACCAAGGAGACCAAATGCAAAAGTGTTTAGAGCTGAGCTGCAGATTCGCCCAGAGACCTCTTAGAGACCAGAGCCAAGGCTTGAGCAGCCAGCTGGGTGCTGACTCAAGCTGGGAGTGAGCCCGACATTGGAGCCTAGCTAAGCAGGAGATGAGCCATCAGCCAGCCAGAGGATTCTAAGGCTTGAGAGGCCCACAGAAAAGCTGCCCTGGCAGAAGGAGGGCAAGGCTCTGACTTGGCTGAGTGGCTGGTGACAGAGGGCACTGTCATCCTAGAGGAATGCAAAGTCTGGAGCAAGAGGCCTACAGCTGGGGCATCCAAGGGGGCAGCTGGTACTGCCAAGGCCCCTGTGGCAGGAGCTGGCTTTCTCTTCATTGCCAAGGCCTGCCTAGACCTTGGATCCTTATCTTGAGGGTGGAAGAGGTGGACTGAGGATTCAGAGGTGCTCGCTTCATGGAGGGTGACTACAGTCTCCTACCTGCCTGGCTAGTCTCGTGTGCCCTGCCCGTAGCCCAATCTGGATAACGTCCTGGGTCCTGAGTCCACACCAGGCCATCTCCAGATGGGGTGTCAGGACACCCTGGGTAGGCAGCATGCTCACTCACCCGGGTCACAACCCATGCCCCTTATTGTACGTGGGTTGTCAATCATCACCACATTGCTGTGCACAAGGGTCAACCTCCAGAGCAGTAAGGGATCACCACAGCTCCAGCCTTCCCCACTCTGCCTTGGCCCGAGTGCCAAGGTCACCGAGAATTTGGGGGACCTCTACAGACTGCTAGTTTGAGGACCCTTTCAAGAAAGACACCTCCAGGTGTGGCTGACATCGGGCTCCAACCTCAGGTGGGGGTAGGGGGGTGTTGGAAGCTAAGGGTGGGCTGGTAGGGGGTAGTTAGGAAGGGTAGAGCATCCCAAAGTGGCCTGGAATTGGCTTGGGAAATCCAGGACTGTGCTTTGTGGCTCTGTTGCAGCAATGCTTAGTGAGCACCTGCTCAATGAGGCAGACACTTGGCTACCCCCTGGGTACACAGAGCAGAGGAAGGCTCATATGACATCACACCAGACCATAAGTAAAGCAAAACAGCAGAGGGTGCAATATGCAGTGATAGGTTAAATACAAGACACAGAAACAATGGAGGAGGGGAATGTGCTGGTAGAGTGGTAAAGGGAAGCTTCACTTCACAGAAGAGGTGGTACCTGCAAGAAAGAACAGGACTCCTCAGCCACGATGGGGCCAGGTGAGGAAGGGAATCTAGGCAAAGGGAGCAGCAAGCCCCAGAGCTCTTAGCTGTGAGACCACCAGCGGTAGAGGAAGAGATTTTCCTTGCCTGATGTGTTCATTAGACTCTGAAATTTCTGGGCCCTTTCAAGGTGCAGTAGCCTTGATCTCTTTCCATTAAACAACGCAGAGGAGTCAGAGAGGGGAGAAGATGCTCCCTCCCTGCTTGTTGGGTTTTCTTTCAACTTTGAGTCCTTGGTAGCTGGTCATAACAGGGCGGGGGAACCATAATTATGAAGAGGAGAAGGGTTCTTTGATCTTGAAGAACCTGCCCAAGGCCCAGTCCATCTCTATGTAGGTCCTCAAGTGACCTTGGATGGTCCCTTAGGCATGACTGTCCCCAGCAGCCTCTGTGGGGCAGGAGGCAAGGCTGGGAGGTGCACTGGGTGGGGCACTCTAACCTACCCTCCCTGCTGTCAGACCCAGTCCGTTGAGGTATCTGGCCCTCTCTGGAACCCTTGGGAACCCCCAGCATTGCCAAAGCACCGTCCTGCATCTTGCAGGTGGCCCTACAGTGTGAGAATCGTCATCTGGCTCATGCTGACACATCCTAGTAACTTTTTTGGTGGTGTACAGGCTTGCTTTTCCTCTAGGACCCAGGAAAACGTGATATGCAAATGAATCACCAGGTGACCCAAAATCAAACAGCTGCTCTGGAGTTCTTCTGTGAAGGCAAAAGGAACTGGAGGCCCCAAGAGGTCCACCTCCTTTCTGGGTCAAGGTGGGCAAGTGAGACTGAACCAGAGTTACACTGGGATGTCACCCTGTCTCTGGCTACAGGTGGACCAGGAACCTCAGGCAGAGCCGCCAGTGCCCAGCGAGGCTTTGGGAGGATTTGTGGTGCAGGTGGAGGGTGGGTCATCGGTGCTGATGTCCTGGGCAGCCCAGTTCATTCATCCAGGAACCCCTTTCCCCTGACTGTTGCTCTTCTCACTGGGATATGCAAACAGCCTCATGGCAGGCCTGGCGTTTCTCTCACCTATGCCAGCTCCAGCCCCAAGGCCTAGCTCAGGTCACATCTCTCTGGTTCAAAAACCCCTTAATATAAACTCCTTGGTCTGGCATCCAAGGCCCTACCCACTACAGTACTAACTCACCTCTCACCAGTCTTCCATAAACTCCTCCTCCAGCCCAGTGTGTGCCCATCCTTTTTGCCCTCTTCCCCTAAAGCTCTCTCATCTTTGAGCCCTGGATCTTGCCTTTACGGGGTCCAAAGGTCCCCTTGCCACTGATGCCCTCCTGACCAGGCCCAGCTCCAGTGCCGTCTCACCTATCAAGTCTTCCTTGTCACCCTCTGCCCTCCGACCCTATGGCCTACAAGATGGAACTTTTTACTAGATTTGTATCGTTAATTATAGGAGTGATACATGCTTGTAAAAACATTCCCACATTATAGAAGCATACACAGTAAAATGACTGTGTCATCCCAGCTCTCCTTTCCCTAGAACTCACCCCAGTCAACAGTCACGCATGCACATGGGTGCCCGTTTTACACAACAGGAGAGGGGACCCTTGAGAACTTTCCATCACCACTTGACATGGCGGTGGCAGGGTGGTGGTGGTGAGGAGCAGAGTTGGTGACTTGTGTTGACTTTGGAAAAAATCACTGGCCTCGAGGTCAGTCTGTGGGACCCCTTGATTCCTTTCAAAGGAAGGCATTTCTGGTTCACAGGAAGATATTCATTCTGTTCACCCAAGAGCCAGAAACTCAAGTTCAAAAGGCAGCCAGGCTGCTTGAGAATCCTCTTGGCCTAGCACAACCCCCACTATAAGCCCGGGCTGAGCTGAGCGGGAAGTCACGCAGCTTTAACGGCACGGTCACTCGGTCAGATGGAGAGACGCAGGGTTTGGACGCTGGCCTGCCTTTCTCCAGCCTGGGCCCTTGCCTGGCCCCTGTAGGTCCAGTGTTCTGGCTGGTCAGCCTGGAGCCCTCTACTCGCCGTGTGCCCTGCTGGCGAAGCAGTGAGTCTCCTTACAGCATGGCTCAGGAGAATAATCTGCCCAAGGGACTACTCACCCTCCTTAGAGTAGGAACTAGAGGAAGAAGCGGGGCTGTGCTGGCATCTCCTTCTCCAGAGGTTCCAGCCCACGTTTCTAGGCAGTTTGAGCAACAGGGGATAGATGTCTTCCCTAAATAACCCAAGGTACCACATCTCTCCCCCACACTCCAATTCAAATAAAATATTTAAGGAAGAGAAGGGACTGTGGTACACCAAGGTGGGAACACCTAACCCCAATTTAGAGATGTCAGGGAAGGCTCCCAGGTATTGGCATACACACTGACACTTAAAAAATAAGCAGGATGTGGCCAGGTGAAGGTGAGAACAGCATTCCACACAGAAGAAACACCACTGGCAAAGGCCTAACGGTGAGAGGGAGCATGACTTTGGAGAAACTGGAAATTCACTGTGGCTGAGCCTAGTGTGTGAGGGGGACATGGAGGGGGTGGGCTTGGAGAGGTCGACTGCTTGGGTGTGCAAACCTCAGGGCTTTGTCCCAGTGGCCAAAGGGAGTCAAGGAAAGGTTTTAAGAAGATAAGTGACATTTCAGACAGATGACTCATAGACCATGAGCTGGAGGTGATAAGTTTGGAGGAAATGAATGCCTTTGGGTGAGCAATAATGGTACCTAGACTAGGGCAGGCACAGTGGAAGATGAGAGGAAATAGAATTCAACACAGCATAAGGGGGTGAGGAAGAGGAAGGTGACCCTGGCTTAGGTGTTGAGGATATAGATCACAGATCGACAGTCACATTCAGCAAACAATTATTAACTGGACTGGACTCAGGGTGTAGGGATCTGGAGGTCCCCACATACTTTCATACGTAGAGAATTGAAGGCCAGTGGCCAGTGATAAGCC